TCAAGATATGCTCATGGAACTCTTGCCAGTTCAGTTCAGCCTGGAGCGATTCAACCAATACACGTATGGAGAGAAAGTGCGCGTAGAATCAGCGCCCAAACCCCTGGAGATAATTGCGAAGAAGCCCTAAGCGACAGCACCACCCAGACTACAAAGAATTCTGCTCAGAATGCAAAAGAACGACTGCACACTAGAATCCAACTCAAGCCTTCCAGTCTCAAAACCCAAACTTGAAGAAATACGAGAGGAAAGCAAATCAAACGTGGTGGCCAGAAACAATGGCCTGTGTCAGTAACAGTTACCGCCTGTATTGGGACATGAGATATGAACTGTCTGAACTGAACGGTATCATTCTAAGGAGTGGGAGAATTCTTATCCCTACCTCTATGCGGAAGGAGATGTAAGAGAGAATTCGTCAAGGCCACATGGGCATAGAGAAATCCAAGCGGCGAGCACGAGATGTGTTTTACTCGCCTTGGATGGATTCTGAAATTCACGAAAAGATTGCAAGATGCAGTATATGCCAAAAACACCAAGGACTCTACACAAGCCTCTAGGCTTTTGCGTTGTTGAAAGGAATTCTTCGATGTGTTTGATGAACGGGACTCACATTTCCATCGATATGCAGCTTAACTTCAACATTCTTCATTTTTCTAAGACCAGTGAACAGACTAGGGTACCGCTGGAATACGTTTTTCTCCACTGATACAGCATTTGCAATCTGAAGTATTCCTAACTCTGTGGCCGTGGCGTATCCCAGAAGAGACGTTCCACTCTCCACCACAAGAAATTCAGCGTCGACTGTACTACACTTTGATTCAGTGAGGGCTGAGAACTTGCCCATCATGGGAAGCGGGGCAGATGAACTGAAGGCATAGACCCTCGTACCGCAGGGTTGCAGATCGACACCAAAAACTTTAACTGCATTGGAACTTACAATGTTTACTCTCAACCCAGAGTCTACCAAGAACTTGCACACAACACCGTTCACTTTCAAAGAGACAAAAGGAGCACTGACCTTTGAGACGGGGACTTCTATCCTAAATGCATACTCGTCATCAGAGCTTGACAAGGTCTCACGTTCCTCACATTCTGCTTTCAATCGGTTAACATTTGGTTTTTTCTTTTCCTTGAGATTACCACGTCCACGGGACTGCTTTCCTTTTCGGGAATTTCGGGTCTCACGTGACTTTTGCGTGCAGCATTTCGCATAGCGAACATATTTATGACAGCCGTTGCGCTTGCGATTTCGCGCGGGACAACCCATCTTCGAGTCGTGTGGCCAGATTCCACCGCAATTGAAACAATTTTTCTCGGCTGTGATGGAGTAGGAAGCACAGCGTTAGCCACATTTCCCGACGATTCGATATCCTTTGCTTGCGTTTCCGAGATTTCCAGAGCTCGTGCCTCATTCAATAAGGTCTCAAGTGTCATGGTTGTATCTCTCAAAGCCTTTCGACGAAGACGCTTTGATGAACAGGATAAAAATAATCTGCGATTTAATTTCCTTGTCGACGTCCCCAAATTCACAAGAAGCAGATAATTGACACAAACGAGAGCGAAATGCATTAATGGACTCTCCTGTGTTCTGTCGGGCTTGACGAAACGTGTAAATTTCATACTCGACATTCTTCTTCGGATCGAAATATTCCGTGATCTTTTCTTTTGCCGTAGCAAAATCGTCACCTGTGTCCACTAAAGTTTCAAAAATCTCTCACACTTCTTCTCCGGCGTGGTAAAGAAGCAAAGCCCGCTGTCTTTTCTTATCAGTGGTGGCAGCAGCGACGAACAGATTTTCAAGACGTGTGATCCACTTTCGCCAGCGTTGAGCGATTGCACCATCAGCATGGATATCAAAAGGATCGACGTTTGGAAGAGCGGAGGCTATCATAAAATCGGCAAATCTATCACAAAGACCTTTCCAGTTATCTGCAACGACGTTCCATCCTCGTCGCCAATGTAATGGGTTGCTATTCTACACAAAGTGAATTAGCAAGACACGACAGTCGAGCACATGTTCAACAACTCACTATATTCTCTACAACCCCGGCATGCTTCGCGCGTCATGCCACACGTGACTTAAACATTACAGATTCCACTCTTTTTCAGTGGAACTTGGATTCTGGATTCCATTCCTTGGTGGGATTTCGGAGTACTTGACTGAGCTCTGTTCTGGATTCCAAAGCCCTGGATTCCGGATTCCACGAGCAAAATTTTCCGGGATTCTGGATTCTACAAGCAAAAATTTCCCAGATTATAGAATCCGGATACCCTTACATGACGCAAAGTACTAGTCAAAGATTTTCATACCTGTTCACGCATATTTAATTAAGCAGTGGGAAATTTACTTTTCTTGTAACATTCGATTTTAAAATGTGATGGATCGGAGTAACTTTTGGTCAATGCAGCTTTTTCAGACTGGACCTCATTTTAAACTAGAAGAGGTCTGGTTCTGAAAATAAATTTTTTCGCCTTGACAAACAGACTGAACACGAATGTTCAGGGCAGTGGGAAATTAAATGAAGCTTGGAAAGGTATCTTTTACTTGCTGAACTAATTTTTGAACAATATATATCATTGGCAAAGGGAAAAAGAGAACTTTAACATAGTTTTGTTGGGAAAATGAAGCATGTCTTACCTAAAAGTGGAAAGTATTTGAACAACTGAGAATTTTGCTGTGACAGCAGCCGGTACTGTCACGCAACGCAAATTGAACATTTGGCTGAATTTGAGTTGAAACCTTCAATTCTGAATCGCTATGTGCCGCAAGTTTTAGCGCATAACTAGACAAAATAGCTATCAATCTTTAACAAAAACATGTTTTTAGGTCTCACTTAGGTGTCACATTGGAGAATTTCCTGATGATTTTGAGGCATTTATTCGTGCAATTTGCTTTCTTAATTGGATTAGTGAAATAAAGACGACCAGTTTCTGCTGATTACGGAAAGATAATGCCTAAATGGTACTGGAAGAGTAAGAAGAAGTAAAATGCTTCCAAATGAGTGCAAATAGTCTAGGATTTGATGACCCGAAGTACTTTTAAGCGATCGTTAAAAAACCTGTATAACAGAGACTACAATTTGCATATTTTAGCCGCTAACGGTCGTCCAGCAATGAAATGCTAGGAATGGCAGTAAAATAAACAATTTCCTCATTCTAACGTCACTTTCGTTACTACGATTTATAGTAGTATTGATGGTAAAAATATAAGGCAAAAGCTTTGTCGAGTCCGAAATCGAGTGGAACGCTTTTAGGTAGACTGCCTCTTAATAGAAAATAGAAAACGGCTACCGAAATGCAGAGATACTTTCGAGAACGAGAGCAATGTAAAACGTTCATCGGATAGAGAGGAAGAGGAGGAGGAGACGTTTCTGCGAATGGCAGTGAAGATAAAGACACCCAAGAGAGCAACAACGACACTGAAAACGACAGTCAGGAAACAGAAAGTAGTAGCCCTGAAACGTCTACAACCATACACTCTTAAAATTCCTGTGAAAATTTTGAGAACTCTAATGTGTACGGGACATTGATCATGAAATGTCCTAAATGTTCTTCGCATGATTACCACAAAATTTGTCCTATATGCGATCACCAGATCCCCGAAGAGGAAAATTACATCAAAGAGGGCTTACATCGGTGTCACGATTGTGGAGCAATAACACACAAAAACGCGAAGACGTTGGAAGCCAGTTTTTATTCCCTTTTCAAAGAGGAGGACGAAGACGACGATCAATTTTTCATTCGTTTCAAATCGCTGTGTATTTGACTGGTTTTGTCATTGGCTTTCAATAAAAATTTTAAAACTGTATTTCGTGTCTGTTTCTTTTTTTGCTAGCGTTAATTATTCGCGTGTTTTAATTGATCCTTGTCAAGTTATTAATTGTTTTGTGTTTTTATAATAATAAGACAAGGTTCTCCCTTAGGTTTTTTACTGTGAATGAAATTTGTATGCAACTGTGGGCTTGTTAACTCGCATAATTAAATGACTTTAACGGAGGGTGAATTAACAAGACCATAAGCTAACCAAGGGCTGAGACTTCAATAGTTAGTCGTTTCCACGAGATAGAACGGAGAAAATGGTTTTGTTATTTACAGTCCGTCAAAATTGAAATAAAGAGTTTTCAGCTCCACTTTCTGTGTGTGTGTTTTGTTTGTATATCCGACTTTTTTTTAGTGCTAAATAGAAGACATGGGCCGTTTCTCGTGACTGATGTCCTTTGGACATTCAATGAATCATCGTAAGACAAAACAATAACAACTAACCATATGCTAAATTTTGTACTTTCAGAATATGATTTCTTTTCCTCAGGGTATATAAGGCTTGTTCTGCAAGCTCCCTTATGTCAAGTTTAATGCACCGGCATATGTGGGCAACTCCTCTTACGACGGGTCTGAGGCTGTTCCCATGGGAAGTCCACCCGGAGGGTGGTAACTGTAGAGAGTTTTACCGGCGACTACAGGCTAAGTTCGCTTGAGGGACCGAGTTATCTACGGGATATCAGGTTCGGGCAGATGGAACTCTTTATCCTTGGCCGGAAGCCCATCTAGAAGAGGGAAACTTCGAACCCAAACCAGGCTTGGAAAGGGATGGGCTCCGTCAGGCTTCATTTGCCCATGATACGCTACATGAAATGACAACCATTTCTCAATCCATACCGGATCGGTCGTCGCCCGGGTCAAAAGGGACCGCACCTTCCGTTGCTCAGCAGGACGGAGATGAGAAGTATGCGACTGGGGTAACAACTAGCAAGATACGTGTCAGAAACAATATCACTATTGGCGCCTGGAACGTGAGAACCTTGCGAATGGCAGGCAAATTGGAAGAATTGTCGTTTGAGCAGGTACCGCTGGAACATTTTAGCATCTTTGGTCTCTGCGAGGTACGATGGAAAAACTTTGGCGAGACATCCACTGAGGAGGGTCTTAAATTATACTTCAGTGGCAAGGAGGACAAACACGAACAAGGCGTTTAATTTCTTGTTCACATCGTGAACACTGTCATGATCTGCTGTCCAGTCTCAAGCAGGCTTATCACCATCCGCTTGAGGTCAAGTCCATTTAACATCACAATTATACAGGCCTGCGCCCCTAACCCGGACTATGATGATGATGATGCAGTTGAGGACTTCTGTGACCATCTGCAGGAAATCTTGGACCAGTCCCCTGAGAAAGACATCCTTGTTGTGTTAGGCGACTGGAATGCCAATGTAGGAGAGAATGCATTCAAAAACTGGAAAGGCACTTGTGGACGCTACTGCAACCCAGAGACAAACGAGAGAGGTCTAAAGCTTCTGGAGTCTGCTTGCGACAACGATCCTGTGCTGGCGAATACACTTGGCAAACACAAAGTATCCAGAAGATGGACATGGCACAGTCCAAATGGAGGATACCATAACCAGATTGATTATATAATGGTTAGGACGCGCTTCATGACCAATGTAAACACCGCTAAGACAAGAAGCTTCCCAGGAGCTGACATAGGAAGCGACCATGATTTAGTGATGATGTCTTTTCGGCTACCTTTAAAGAAGATAAAAATGCAGGGCCCCACAAGGGTTAAGTTCGATCTTGAGAAGCTCAAAGACACTCAAGTTGCTGATACCTTCCAAGCAATGATTGGTGGTAAATTTGCACCACTTACCTTGCTTGATGTAGATGACACAGAAGTGGACACACTCGTTAACACCTTCAATAAAGCAATGACTGAAACAGCTAGTGAAATCTTAGGCAAACGCAGAGCAGTCAAAAGACCGTGGGTCACAACGGGCACCCAGATCTATGGAAAGAATGAAGAGCACTGAAGAAGGGGAGGTACGAGACAGCAGAAGGGGCAAGAAAGTACAGAGCAATTAACCAGAAAATTAAGAAGAGCATAAAAAGGTAAAAGAGTCTTGGATTGATGTACAGTGTCAAGATGTTTAAGATAACATCGGGAAGAACAATAGCAAAAAAGCAAATCAGCTGGTAAAAACTCTGACTATTACAAAAAAAGGGAAGACCAACACCATACAGGACAAAGACGGGAAATGCCTTAGCGAAACCAACGACATTATAAAGAGGTGAAAACAATACTTTGCAGAACTGTACGGCCACACAGTTGTAGGTGACCGTAGGTGACACTAGTAACCGACACTGCGAAGTAGCCAATCTTGAGGGAAGAGGTCGAAGCAGCTGTGAAGGCGCTCAAGAAGGGAAAATCTCAAGGGATAGACAATATCCTGGGAAAGCTGGTACAGGCAGGAGGAGATGCCGTGATGAGTGCCTTGCGTAAAATCTGCAATAAGATATGGCAGACAGGAGAGTGGTCCATACCATAGACTCAGTCTCTTATCATCACCCTTTCCAAGAAAGGCAACCTTCAACAGTGCAAGAACTACCTCACGCTCAGCCTAATATGCCACCCAAGTAAAGTCCTGTTGAAGGTGCTGTTAAATAGGCTGAAGCCTCAGGCAGCATCGATCATCGCAGAAGAACAGGTAGGTTTCCGATCAGGTCGCAATGCGACAGAACAGATCTTCAGTCTTAGGACACTGTGCGAGAGGTACCTCTAACATCAACAAGACCTCTATCACGTCTTTATTGATTTTAATAAGGCGTTTGACAGAGTATGGCGTAAAGCCCTTTGGTCTACTATGAGGCTTTATAACATTGACGCCAACCTTATGCAATTCGTTGAAAACCTCTACAACAAGGCTACTAGTGCAGTCTACCTTAATGGTGGCATATGAGACTGGTTCAGAACCACAGTCGGAGTCAGGCAAGGCTGTCTACTCTCACCGAATCTCTTCAACATCTTTCTGGAGAGAAGTATAACTGTCGCACTAGAAGATCACCAAGGAACAGTCAGCATCGGAGGCAGAACAATTACCAACTTACGCTGCTGATGACATTGATGTCCTGGCAGGAAACGAGGAGGAACTAGCTTCTCTGGTAGATCGCCTGGATAAGACCTCTGTAGCCTTTGGCATGAAAATTAGTGCAGAGAAAACCAAACTGATGACCAATAACGCGAATGATATCAGCATTGACATCAAAATCAACTCTGAAAAATTGGACGAGGTTGACAGCCTCAAGTATGTGGGCGCAGTCGTCACAGATCAGGGTTCCAAGGTTGAAGTACTGTCCAGAATTGCACAGACAACAGAAGCACTAGCGAGACTGAAGACCACCTGGAACGATAAGCATATCTAAGCCCAAAGATCAGACTAATGCGCTCCCTGGTTATCTCAGTACTAATGTACACCTGCGAAACCTGGACATTGACAGCGGACATCCTGACGAAATTGCAGGCCACTGAGATAAGATGCTTTAGGAAACTGCTTGGCATCTCATACAGAGACCACATCACTGACCATGCAGTCAGAGACAGAATCAGGCAAGCCATTGGGCCCTTTAATGATATCTTGACCACGGTAAAGAAACGCAAGGTAAAGTGGTTTGGGCATGTATCAAGATCAGTACGGCTTGCCAAGACAATTTTACAAGGAACAGTGCAAGGAGGGAGAAGAAGGGGCCGACAAAAGAAGTGTTGGGAGAATAATATCTGAGTGGACAGGGTTGAGGTTTTGCAACGCCCTAAGAGAAGCTGAAAACAAAATCAAAGGAGGGAAAGGGTTGCTATGTCCGTGGTGCCCAACGTTCACCATGACTACGGGATAGGTGCATGGAGCATTAGTCACATTATTCATAAAAAGCGACTGTTACCATCTGTCTGTGTATTACTGGTACTGTGTGTGTATCTCAGCCGTTCAGTAAAAACCTGCAAATGTACGGATCAGTTACGTTTCTCGTTTGTAAACATATCTAGCTGTGTGCATACTGACGATATTTAATATACTCGATATATTTAGTACTCGTGTAGTGTTTAAGTCTTGGTAATGAGCAACGGAAAAAAATACAAAACTTTAAACTTACAGCAGCTTTAACATAGGGAGATTCCAAAACGAACGAGACGAAAGCTGTGCAATTTCGTTGTTTTCAAGATCCCTGGAAAAGTAACTTATTTTAGACATTTATTTTAAACCTGACCGGTACATGAAGAACCAATCAACGCACGTCTCTTGTCAGCCAGTGTAATCGCAAACTAGTGACGAGTTTCTTTTGCAGACTCGCCAAAATTTCTCGTAAATTTACTTTACATTCTCAAAACTTTTTCTCGAAACATTTAATAAAATGGGTATGAAGTTAAAAGCTGAAATATATCGATGTTTAAAAGCACAAATAGACGCCTTATTTGGTAGTAAGTAATCTTGTCCGCTTATTTTTTGTTAACTTCGCGAAGGAGAAAGCAAAGTAATATATAATGAAGCTGACAAAGAGGTAAAGAGAATTCGTGACGATATTTCCCGCTTGCAACTGTTGTCCCTCTGGTACTCAACGACATGCAACTAGTTATATTTAACTGACACTTGTACTCCTAGCCTAACAGCTAACCAACAGCTAAATTCTGCAAGTTCAGTGTATGACGTTTTCCCCAGTCTATTAGTTATATATTATTCATAAAAACAACTGTAAGCGTCAGTTCGTGTGGTACCGCTACACCATGTATGTACTTGTGCTATTTAAATTCTAGCTAGTGTTAAGTCGCACGTTAATTAGGAACTCGTATGCATAATAAGACTAAGTTACTAGCTTGTAATCACTTGTAACCGTGTGCATACTAATGATGTATATAATAGTAGTATACGTAGTAATCATGTGGAGAATTTGTTCTTGATCATTAGCAAGAAAAATGAACAAACATTGAAACTTACAGGTTCACTAGCTCAGAGAGATTTGAGAACGCTTGAGGTAAAAGCTGCGTAATTGTGTTGTTGGAGAGGGATCTGCCAAAAAAAGGTATTTACTTCATGACAATAATTGATGTAGTAATGTCTGCTTTATCTGACAGTGCATATTTTGTGAAAAGAATTTGAGATCTTCGTCAAATTACTGAGCCTCAGGCGTTGGTATTTAGCGAAACAAAACCGCTATCTTGTCCAAATTGTTAGGAGCTGCAGAAGAACAATTACCACGGTGATTGGATTACAAAAGAAAAGTGCTGCCCAACCGTCACTTTTTTCTAGGGTCAAAGATTGTTTCGTTTCGTCCAATACCATAAGCCCTCGAAGTCTACGACAAACAATGATCAGTTTCGGGTGAATACACAAGACCTTTGGTCTTACCTCATGAAACAGAATGGTCACAAAGAATAGAATAGTCACCGGTAGCCGGAGACGCAAATAATGAAAGGATAATTCTAAACAATAGTCAAAAAGCTCAACGGATAGTTTTTTACCAAAACTTTAGCTCTCTCTTTACAAACCATTTAGAAGTTCATTCAAGACGATACATGTTTTTGCGGAAAAGGCGGTCTTGTGATTATCGGCATTGCAGATATCTCGCAAGAACCGCAATCGCTTTGAATCGCCGCTCGGTGTTTGGACAAATCCAGTATATATAACCTCCTGAGTATCTCTGCCTGCTAAACAAGCTATTACAGTTGGTTCCGGTTAGGGTTTTAACCTGAAGTTGTTACATGATTGGAGTATATAATTTTGATCTTCCAAAGCTTATGCCAGTAGCAAACATTTCCTTGATGAATTCATGACGTTTGTCTCTCACTAATGCACGCCAGGATACACGGTAATAAGTTAGTCATCACAGCTCAGCCAATCAGGAATTTCCGGACGCCAGCGTCCGCAGCAATGAACATACGGGGATTCTTATGGCCACCGTTCCTTACCCTCTCTATCCAACCCCTCCTTTTTTCCTTCCTCCTTATCCCCTACCCCTTTCGACGCCTGTTACGCAGGCTACGCGTATGAGAATTTTCCCAGTTTCCTAGTTCTATTATTCATAAAAACGACTGTAAACGTCTATTTGGGTGGTACCACTACAACGTGTGTGTACTTGTGGTATTTAAATTCTAGCGTTAAGTCACCCGTTAAGTGATAACTCGTATGTATGAGACTATGTTACTAGTGTGTAATCACAGGTACCCGTGTGCATACTGATGAGATGTATAATAGTAGTATACGTAGTAATCCTGTGGAGAATTTGTTCTTGATCATTAGCAAGAAAAATGAACAAACATTGAAACTTACAGGTTCTCCAGCTTAGGGAGATTTGAGAACGCTCCAGTCAAAATCTTTTCAATTTTGTTGTTGGAGAGGATCTGCCAAAATAAGTTATTAACTTCATGACAACAATAATTTATATGCTGCAAATTTGTATTTTCTTTGAGCTCTAATTTTTAACGGAGAAGAAGACTTTGAGCCTGACTAGAAAGGCCATTAATTTCAGAGGAACATCCTTTACGCAGCATAGTAAATGCAGGCAGGTACTTAGTTAAGGTGGCTGAACACAGTTACATGTTTCCAAAATAGGATTGGAA